TGACCAGGCTTTTTGCTGTTTGCTGCAAGGAGGCAAATGGCTGGGAGTCAAAGGCAGATTTTTTTTTCTTGTTTTCCTTCCCAAAAGCTATGTGTGTCTCATACTTTGGAGCATCTTATACTCTGAAAAATGTGGTAAATCCTTTTCAAATACGGACCAGTGTTTAGGTCAATCGTTCCCTCCCTCCAGATGCAGAGGCTTCAGGTCACAGGCTTTCAAGCCACTGAGGGGACAGATTCAAAATGTGTAGAACATGGGTGTCTTCAAGCCTCCGTGCGCAAGCAACTTTTCTATGGTTTCATAGGCCCCCTGGACTCTTGGGTACCAGTTTTTTTAGCCCTGGTGAGAAACAAAATGAATACCTTGAGATTTGTATTTTACCCATTGAAACTCCTCCAATTTTTTATCTAAGTAAGGTAGCGGATGCTTCCGATTTGGAGAAAAGCTGCCTTTTCATAAAGCCTAAAATAGGCTGAAAACGTTGGTCCTCGCCTTTGATGACCTTTGATGATCACTGATCACGGCCATCACTGTTCTAGCAGCAGCCTCTGCTCTCCTCAGAGGGAAGGAGAAGAAATCGAGTGGATGGAAAACATGTCTTGTCTTTAGCTCACTCTCAATCACGCCCACAGTCTGATGCTTCCCTCCCTCCTTCCTCTCCTCCTTTCTGAATAGGCGTTTTTGGGTGATCTGGAGCAGAACGCGGTGAAGGTCCAGGCAGCCAAGGAATCGCTCTCTGGACTCCTGAAGAAATACCCTGACTCTCCAGAAGCAAGAAACTGGAAGAGGATGTTGGAAGACTTAAGTACGTAGCCTAAGGATCTCGGGGAAACTCTGCAGGGGCTAATTAAGAACTCGGAACATTCCTGCCGGCCACCCTGAGTTTCCTCTGGTTGCCTTTCATTGTGTAAACCAGGGGGAGAGTGACAGCCTTAGGAGCAGTGAAGAATCTGTGGGATAAGGGAGCAGAACAAGAAGCGCACCATAAGAACATGCTTCTATGAAATGGCTGCCTGTAGTGGAGCATATATACCATGTTATTGATACTGGCTTCTTTATATATCTTCAGAACTTCTGGTTTGAACATGGTATAAGTGCTCCATAACATTTTTGGCAGCATTCACCTTCAGGTGAGGTGGGCAGTATATAAGTTCACTATATAAATAAATAATAAATATTCCCAAAATTAAACCAAACATAAAAATTACAATAGTAGTAATAATGTGGTAGGCTTTTTTTAATCCTAGAAGTTCCCTCAACCTTCTTGTCCCATGAGGTCCTGGGGATGAGCTTGCTGAAATACCACAATATTTGGCCCAGGAAAAAAACCCCTTTGCAATGATATGAAGTCCCAGAAAGAAGCTCAGTGACAGCCTGGGACATAAATCCAGGGCCATTATTCCCACCTATCAGGAACCTTGCCTGCATGATAGCACTTGTTGCCAGTGAGCATGTCTTCCCACATCCAGACAACTGTAGGAGTCAAAGGACATGATGCTGCAGACCAGGCTGGGTCTTGCAGAATGGATGTCTTCTCTGTACGCAAGCAGGGAAGAGTCCTCACTATGGAGAGAGAGAAGGACACTTGGGCAGTGAATTTTGGCGTGAGAAAAGGAAAGAAGAAGCATAGCTGTGCCTATTTTCATCTGAGAAATGTTGGTGTAAGTGAGGGCAAAGAACCTTGATGTAAATATTGGTTTAGGCAGGATCCATTCTCATTCTCAGTGACTTGGCTCCTCTTTAGCCACTGGTTGTGGTAAAAAGATTTGTGCAAGATATTTTTCACTCTTGCATTATGTTGCCAATATCCCCAACCATGGTGGTTTCGGTGTTCAGATTCCAGGTGGGCAAATGCCAAGCAGGTGACAGAGGAGCGTCAGCAGAAGCTAGAAAAATCAGCCAATGAACTGGCAAGTTTTCAGGAAGCCGAAGGGCAGCTGAGGCCCTGGCTGATGGAGAAGGAGCTGATGATGAGCGTGCTGGGACCCCTCTCCATTGATCCCAATATGCTGAATGCCCAAAAACAGCAGGTGCAGGTAGGTCAAGCAAAAATCATGGCTTCCGCCTTTGTGTGTCTGTTGGGACGGAGTGGGGAGAGGCCAGGGTGGATGGAGTTGGGAGCTGAGGAGGCTGCATGGCCTTTCGCAGTTCCTCTGATTCCACTTCAGGCCCTGAGAGAGGAAAGGCTCATTTACGAATGCTTGGTTCGTTTAACGTCTTGCTCCTATTTAATGTGTCTCCCTCTTTTTGGGGAATAAGAAAGCATGCTGCTAAGAAATCTCTAGCCAGTCAGCCAAGAGGGAGGGAAAGTCTTCTTGATACTCATTCTGCCATTTGTTTATATGTTTGGAGTAGCAGCAGGACCAGTGAGGCCGCGGAATAGAACTCTATCGCCCTCGCCAGCATTTTTGAAAATCTGAGATGTATTGAAAACTCAGCCTCTGCAGTTCCTGTGCAACACTTCCAAAAACTCCACGTTCAGACGCTTTAAGAGTTTCCACATGGGCTCTTAGCTCTGTTGTCAGCCAGTTTAAACTCCTACTTTTTATGACTAATTTTTTTGGCTCTTAATTGATTTGTTAGTTAGTGTTATACATGTTCTACATTAAATGTTCCTTTGGAATGAAGATGAGATACAGTTTTTAATTGATGATATAAATATTGCCACTTGTTGCTTTGACCCTGAAGGTTCTTGGAAGAAGATGTTCCTTGGACCTGTTTTGTATTTGGCTCTCAAGTATGGTCATTCCACCAAGTCCCAGTCCATGAGGCTGGAATTGCTTCTTTGGTCACGGTAGCTGGAAAACAGGAGGTTGCAATGCAACACATTGTGGAAGACCCGTTGAGGGATTTCTAGGCCATCCTCCTAACTGTCCATACCCTAACAGCAGTACGCAGTCAAGGAAGATTATTATTCATACGGAATGTCAATAATGAGGATGAATAATGGGGAAAATGGGATCCAGCTATGGAATCCTAGAATCCTTACCCATCTTCCATAAAGCAAGAGCTCTCCTTAGAATGTTTTTCAGAATCCTTTGCAATGTGTGGGAGTTCATTTTCATGTTAATCCATATAAAGATGACCCCCCCGCCCATGGCAGAATACTTGAAAACCACCAATTATTTCACAGGAATAGGCATCTTAATTATTTCAGTGGAATTGGGGGAGGCAGTTAGTTTGTGGCTGTCTTCGTGGGTTTCTGAGTTCTTAAAATGGTGACTCCTACTATAGTGAGGCTAATAGCACCCATCCGTTCCTTCTCCCCTCATCTTTACCTTTTGTTTTAATCAAATGCCGCTAGTCCGTCACATTCATCTTTGTGTTGCAGTTCATGCTGAAGGAATTTGAAGCTCGGAAGCACCAGTATGACCAGCTGAATGAGGCAGCCCGGGGAATCCCCACCAGTCCTGGTGAAACGTCTCCACCCCACAGCCATGTGCAGGAGGAGCTCCAGGCTATCAACAGGAAGTGGACCAAGCTTACAGAACGCCTCAACTCTCGTTCCAGTCAAATTGACCAGGCCGTGGTCAAGAGCACCCAGTTCCAAGAGCTACTCCAGGGGTTGTCTGAGAAGGTGAAGGCCGCTGGACAGCGCCTGAGCACCCAGCCTGCCATCAGCACCCAACCAGAGGCTGTGAAGCAGCAGCTGGAGGAAACCAGTGAAATCCGGTCTGAGCTGGAGCAGCTGGAAGAGGAGATCACAGAGGCTCAAGCCCTGTGCGAGCAGCTCTCGGTTCTCATGGGAGAGCAGTACCTGAAAGATGAGCTCAGGAAGCGCCTGGAAACGGTCGCCTTGCCTCTCAAAGGGCTGGAGGATTTAGCAGGTACGGTGTTCACAGGTTTTGAAGTGAGCATTGTCATTTGATTGAGAAGTAGACTCAAAGCTCCAGAAGTTGTAGGAAGATGGTAGTGTGCAGTTGGGCCCAGGAGCTTCTAATGTACACATTTAGATGGCATTGAAATCAGCAGGGCCATTAGCGCACCTCAAGCCATTGGTCTCCTGGGAAGGAGCCTGTAGCTCACGTTAATGTTGTAAACACTCAAACACTAGTGCCCAAACACTCTGATGTGCATGGTGGTCCAGGAGACAATGCTGGCTCTTCCTTCTTTGTACTCTCACAAAGAAAGAACACCATACAAGGCAAAACCAAACTCCTTTATGGTTCAATTTGCCCAGCTAGAGAAGGACAGAGAAAATACCCAGCTAGAGAGGGACAGAGAAAATTCTCACTTCTCCAGGATGGCTCACCCAGCACACCATGAGTAATGTTACACCTCCCCAAAGATCACGTAAGGGACTGGTACAGTGTGTCCTAGAATTCCCATAGCTGAATGGTTCTCTGTTTTCAAATTCAGAAAATGTATTTTAAAATCTACAATAATTAGAACTAAAAATAATTATATAGGACTGTCCAGAGGAAAAAGGAAGATTGGGCTTAAGTCCCATACATCTACCCGAAGAAAATACAGAATGGCGGCCCATCCCATCCCACGTCAAATGCTTCTATTTCCTAGAGTAGCTTGCTTCAAACTTGTATAATTCATTCCCCACCCCACCCCCGGGACAAGTTCAAAGACTGGTATTTGAGTTGGTGCATTGAAAAAAAGGTTTGTATTGTGAAGTACATTTTCAGCCATGCATCCCTTCCTATTTCCAGGTGACCGGCTGAATCGCTTGCAGACGGCACTCGCCAGCTCCCAGCAATTCCAGCAGATGTTTGATGAGCTCCACACATGGCTAGAGGACAGACTGAAACAGCAGGCAGAGAGTGGGCCAATCTCAGCCAGGCTGGAGAGGCTGCAGTGTCAGATTCAGGAGCAGGAAGAATCCCAAAAGAGCCTTAACCAACACAGTGGCTCCTATGAAATGATTGTGGCTGAGGAAGAATCTTTGCTTCTCTCTGTTCATCCTGGGGAAGAGAAGACAACCATGCAAAACCAGCTGGTTAGCTTGAAAGCCAACTGGGAGGAGCTGAGCAAACAAATTGCCAGCCGGCACGCCAAACTTAAGGATTGCTTGCAGAAGGCCCAGAAATACCAACGCCACGTGGAAGACCTTTTCCCTTGGGTGGAGGATTGTAGGTCAAAGATGTTAGAGTTAGAAGTCACTCTGGATCTGGTGCAACTGGAAGCCGCTCTTCTGAGGTCAAAGGCCATGTTGAGTGATGTAGCAAAACGACGTTCCCTTCTAGAGATGCTGAATAGTGCTGCTGACGTCCTCATTGATGCATCAGAAATGGATGAAGACGACATTAGAGATGAGAAAGCAGAGATCAACCACAAGATGGATGTTATAACAGAGGAGCTCCAAGCCAAGACCGAGTCCCTTGAAGAGATGTCTCAAAGGCTCAAGGAGTTCCAAGAAAGTTTTAGGAACATTGAAAAGAAACTAGAAGGGACAAAGCACCAGCTGGAGATCTATGAAGCTCTTGGCCCTCAGGCCTGCAGCAATAAAAATTTGGAAAAACTGAGAGCTCAACAGGAGGCTCTTCAGGCCCTGGGAGCTCAGGTGGATTACCTCAGGAACTTCACTCAGGGTCTCGTGGAAGATACTCCAGATGGATCAGACTCTTCCCATCTCTTGCGCCAAGCTGAAATTGTCCAGCAAGATTTCAAGGGGGTGAAGCAAAAAGTAAATGAGTGTTGTAAAATCATGGAAAACAAGCTTGAAGGAATAGGACTATTTAATAATCACGTTCGGGAAATGTTTTCCCAACTGACTGACCTAGATGATGAGTTGGATAGCATGGGCCCTGTTGGGAGGGACATGGACAGCCTTCAGTCGCAAGCAGATGATGCCCAGGAATTTCTGGGCAAACTTCACCAGTTAAGACTGGATATCCAAGCTTCCGAAGAGAAATGTAGACAGATGCTGGACGAGGAAGGGAGTCCTGATCTCATAGGGCTGAAACGTGAACTAGAGACCTTAAATAAGCAATGCATCAAATTGACTGAAAGGGGGAAGAGCCGCCTGGAGCAGGTGGAGACCACGCTGGCTCGCGTCAAAGACTTCTACAACAAGCTCAAGGAGCTGAACTACATGACCACCGCGGCAGAAGAGGGTGAAGCACTGCAGTGGGTAGTTGGGACTGAGGTGGACGTGATCAACCAGCAACTGGCCGATTTCAAGGTAAGAGCCTTTCCACCCTAAAGGTGTTTCCTGTTTATACTGGATCCAGTCCTGGTTGTGTGCTTGACTTTTCTGAGTTGCGTATTGTCTTCCTTGACTTTACCAGGATGAGTAATTCCTTGACTTTACCAGGCTGGGAGGTAAAATGTGGCACAAAAAACCAGCTTGTGCCTTGGGGTAAATTTCAAATCAGTATCCATTTGGGTAGTTTTAGGAAAAGTGTCCCCTTGGGGGGGGAGGTCTTTGCTTAGAATACTTGTATACTTGTTTGTGTACTCTAAACATTAAGTTAAAAGAAAAGAAAATGGTGAAATGTTTTGGTGCAAAATAGTTACATGTATAGTTGCATGTTTCAAGAGAGGCAAGACAGCCATCACTTGAGGATGCTGGGATGTGTATTCCTGCTTAGTAGAGGGTTGGGCCTGATGGCTCCATCCACTCCTTCCGACTCTTGGATCCTGTAATCGGAGTCCTATTCTGGTTCAGATGTTGGAGGTCTTACTAGCTCCACGTAAGAAACCTTGGGGTCTACAATGGCGCTAGGTGGGTTTCCCCAGGTTTCTCAAAGCTTTTGAAGTGCTGTATAGGCAAATCTTTCATCCTCAGGCGATTTCATTCTGAGGAAGCCTAAAGGGAGCTTTTAACTGGGCTTCTTTGGGTAACAGCCACCTTGGATTCTCCGTGCTGGACAAGTACAGCAGCCTTCTCAAGTGCTGAGCACGATTACGCTCCCAGCTTTTGGGGAGGAAAACAAGAAAAAAAATCTGACTCTGCCTCCCAGCCATTTGCCTCCTTGCAGCAAACAGCCAGTTTCAGTTTCAGTTTCAGCACAGCCTGATTAGCACAAGCAGCTGATTGTCAGTTGGGTCGACCTCCCAACAATCAGCCGTTTCAGGCTGCAGGGATTGCCATCGTCTATTGCTGCTTCCGCCTGCCCCATTTTCGGCCTCCGCGTGCCCCATTTTTCAGAACGGGCAGAAAATGGGGCACGCGGAGGCCAAAAACAGGATGCCGAGGCCAAAAATGGGGCACGCGGAGGCGACAATAAGTGATGATGATCTCTGCAGCCTGAAACAACTGATTGTTGGGAAACCGATCCAACCGACAATCAGCTGCTTGTGCTAATCAGGCTGTGCTGAAACTGAAACTGAAACTGGCTGTTTGCTGCAAGGAGGCAAATGGCTGGGAGGCAGAGGCTGAAGGGTGGGACCAGTGGGAGGGCAGAGCTTTTCTGTATAAGACGCACAGGCATTTCCACCCACTTTTGGGGGAGAGAGCATCTTATACTCCGAAAAATATGGTACATATCCATCCCAAATAAATGCATTTTTAAAAATAGATTAATTAATGCAACCATGTCATTTCAGGAAATCCACTCCCCAAAGTTTGGTGTGAAAATGGTAGAATGTTGTATGAGAACCCAAGACTGGGTAGATTTTGACATTTTGGAATTCTTCCCTGGAGCATCTAAATATCTCAGCAGGAACGTTGAGTTCATGAAATTTGGGCCACCGGGAAGAATTGTGAATGTAGATGTTCCTTATTTGTTATTGGGGAATATTATGAGCTCGAATCTGAGCTCTCTCTTGGAACTAGACACTAAGGAAATGTTGTCTTCCAACCAAAATAAGCAGAACCACATTTCAAAAATGAAATTTTACTTTCAGGATGCAGATTTTCAAAGAATGGTAATTAGAGAAAAGATTTGTGGGATTTTGATGGATAACAAGTAAAAATCAATGTTATTTGCAAATTATATGATTATTTGTTTTGTAATTCTACTGCCTTTGTTTAACAAATCTGCCTTGTTGACATGTTGTTCTTGTGAATGGATAGTAATTGGTTAACTGGGGAGTGTTTTTCAAGTGCTTAGGTTGACATAGTCTTGGAAGAATCAAGGCATAGGTTGGTTCAAAGGGTAGAGCCAAGGGCTCCCTTAATAATGGGACAGAAAAGTCCAGTTGGAAAAATGCCTCCAAGGTTCACCAACTTGTGATGGCAGCTCTTTCCCATCCAGGAAGAAAGAAGCAGCCCAGTGAGGCAGGAGCTTCCATCGGCCCCTGGCTGACCAGGTGGAGGGACTTTCTTGCGGTGTTCTCATGCGCCAGCGGAAGCTTGGCTGGAGCCGAAGGGAGGTTGAGACAGTGGGAGAAACAAATGTGGGTGGCATCTGCACCTCAGAGCGTTAGGTTGGGTGGGCATCCGGAGCAGGACGGAGCATTTCCATGATTTGGGCCCATGGCTGTGGCGGCAGTGTTGTTAAATCCAAATCCCTCTGTTGCTCTTTTAAAGGAAAGCTTGGGTGGGCCTGAGCAAGCCCGGATGAAGAAGGCACGGGGGCTTCTGGGGGTTCCCTGACCCTGTTTTGCAGGAGCTGCCGGGAGGGAGAAGGAGGCGTTAGGGAGGGGAGGAAAAGGCTGCCTTGGAGGCAAGTTGCCGTTTTTTCAGAGCTATCACCGTAAGGACATTCCCTCTGCCCTTGGCAATGGAGCAGGTGCTGGGTGGGCGGGCTGAGTAATGCACGGCTCCCAGGATCTTCCGTCAGGCCCTCGGCTGCTTGGTTCTTCCGGTCCTGCAGAAAATCCCTGTATTTATTCCAGCTTGTGGCCAACCCAGTAGCAGGCAGTTTGGTTTCCGTCCCTCGGGGGAGTGAGGCGAGCCCCACTTTACCCAGGGGCTGCGGCTTAAAAGCTCTCCCCACGTCTTCGAACTTCCAAGCAGAGCTTTTCAGAAATGTTCTTCCCGTGCAGTTTTTGGACACCCGTCTCCCTTCTCCTCCAGCCAGCCGCTCTGCTGTGGGGAAAGGAGAGAGGCAGAGCTTGGGTGGAGCAGAGAGAGAGCAGGAGGGGGGGGGTTGTCATTTGGGAAGTAGCAGCTGGAACGACTTGCACTTGGGGAGGAAGAGCGGGGAAATGGTTTAAAACGTTGGCGGGGAAAAGCGCCTGCCTCGAAATCTACGGGCTACTGCAGCTGACACGAGCGCATTGCCTTCTGCTGAGGAGTGCAGTTTAGTGCAGTGCGTAAACTCAGCCCCGGTGCTCAGTAGCCCCTAGTTTATAGTTCAGTGTTATGGGTAAACCTTGCCACCAGAATGGTTAGAGCAAATGACAGAAACATACAAAGATACGAAGCTTTTCCTCGATGTTTTTTTTCCCTGTTCGGGAGGATTTGTTAGTTTTTAATACCTATTGGGGGGATAATATGGTGTTAGTGTGCTCGGGCTGCGAAGGGAGCTCTGGGCTGCCATGTGGCCTTAGAGGTGCCAGCTATGGACCCTCACCCCTCCTCTTCCTTTGCCAGCAGCCCCATTGGGGAGGGAAGCATTCCGACCTCTTAGACTCTGGCCCACTATTTTAAGGTCCAGAGCCCCGTTTTTCCCTCTGATGGGGTGGGGCCCCCATACCATCCTCACAGATTGCAACCCCACCAGGGAGGACCAGTGCCACCCAGAAATCCTTGGTGGAGGAAGCGACAGTCGCTTCCTGTTTTTCTAGCAACAGCCATCTTGGTTGCAAAAGAAGGAAGGATGATCCTATTTGAAAGCCATTTGGCAACCAGGCTGACCCCAGTGCCAGCCCTCTCCTCCTCCTCCTCCTCCTCAGGGCTGCTCAGTTGCCATCCTTTGCCAGCTTTGTCTAAAAGTCAAAGAAACAGAGGCCAGCAGCCAGGAGGAGGATGAAAAGGAAGGCAGATTTTCCAGGTGGCTTCGTTTAGCCAGAAAGCTGACAAACACCTGCCTGCTCTTGGCAGAACAGGAGCTCTGCAAACAATGGAGTCATTGAGTGGAGGCGGACAGGAGGCAGGAGGAAGAAAGGGCTGATTCAGAGCTTCCTCCCCTCACCCGCCCATCACCTAGGCTGGCTCTGTGGCGGGCGGGGGAGATTTTTCTCAATGGCTCCTGGGCTCCTCCCATTTCTGTAACAATAAGGCTGGCTGGGCATTATGCAAAGGCGGTTGACAGAGTGGACGAGAGTGGGACATTTATGAAGGCTGGCCCAGTCACGCACAACTTCTCCTTTCCCCTTCCCCCTACCCCTTTTGGCTAAATATTCCCAATACTTCTTCTTCTTTTTTTTTTTAAAAAAAGGATACATTTGCACAAGACCCCAAAGGGACAACCTAAGGGGATCAGCCAGAAATTAAAGCAATGAGAAGTCATGACTGCCCCACAGAAGCTTCTGCAATAATTTTTAAGATGCCACCATGTTCTGCCATTTCCCCTATCAAAAGTTCGCTTGACAACTCCCTCTGGAAAAGAGGGGAAGCCCCCATGGTGCCTCACACCATCCCCTTCCATTCGTTTCCCCAGAGATGGTATTGCGCAGTTGCATTTACCGTCTCCATTCCTGGATCTGCCATGCAACTCCTGAGCAATCCATGGAACTCTGTCTGCTGTGCTTCTCTTTCAGATATTCCCTATAATTTTTTTTTCATTCATCTGCCTTGATTTCATTATTTATAAAGCTTTTGTAAAGTGTTTGAATAGTTAAATGACAGGGTTTAAATTTTGATGGCCTGTCCTTCTACCGGCCATTTTCGCCTCCTCTCAGCCTGTTTTGGAATCTTGGAAATAATTGTATGAACCTAGATAGGCTTTGTCCAGTTGGATGCAGTCTTGTGAATATGGGCATTGTGAACTTTTAAACATTCCTTTCCTCCTTTTTGGCCCATTCCTATGCTAACTTTCATATTGCTATTATTGCCTTTGGGGAAAGTATTCCACTGATTTCTGGACACAACCCTTCCAGTCCCCCAAAGGAAATCCTGAGGCCTTTTGGCAGCAGCATTGGGTCTGTCTGCTCCGAGAAAGTGACTCAATGAGTTTGTCTCCAACAGACCTTTTGAATAAGGATTCCTTTTGTTTACGCAGTGCTTTTTAAAAAAAGATGGCATCTGATTCCATCCCTTCAGCAACCACGATGCAGTGGAATTTACCTTCAGGAATAAGAAGTTGACTGTATACTTTTAGGCTGTGAAATACTGCATTCTCTGGTGGGATC